ATCGAATGAGAGAGAGAGAACAGCTGCAACAGTCGTCGCCTGACCCCTATGGTGTAGCCGACACACGCATAAAGGTATGCACTTGTATACCCATACTGTTGCCTGCCTTGAATCGGTCTATGGTACAAGCTATCCTTGTTCCATGTTCCGGTCAGACCACAGAGTTCGCACCAAAACTACTTCCCGATCAAAAAAAAAAAGTAATAATAAATGTATACAACACAGCGTATTATCTGATATTTGTATAATAATAATAATTACAGAAGTATAAAATAATAACAAACGGAACCACAATCCGAATTTTACGCGCTGTGTTCAGGGTTTTTTTTTTTTTACTGATATATTTACATTATGATAGTGTCGCACGACGATTTTTACCAATGGAACGTTGGCGGCCTTAGGAGCAGCGATATTTTTGAGACTTGTTTCTATGTAATGCTGTGATAACACCACCGTAATTCTGACATCGTGTCGGAAACGACGTTTCTAAAACCAGTCGAAAGACAAACACACGCTAACAAGGTATCAGGAACTGTGCCGATCAGAGTAATAAAAAAATAACATTAATACACCGCCGAATTAAACAGTGAAAATTACACTGTTTAAGCACATCAATAATTGCTCATACTGTTAGGTTTAGCATTTTAACATATTGACTACTGTTTCAAAGGGTTTTTTCGTTTTACGCGTATGGGCGAAGGGGGGTGCATCACTTTATTTCAAATGGTAAAGAATCAGTAAAATCAGCATAAACGAATCTCATTGTTTGCACGGTTTTGGATTAAATTGTCAACCGAATTCAAGCATTATAGTTTAAACACGCCTTTTGTAGGTACAGTGAGGTTTGCCTGGCCTGGGTAAGGTACTATATTAAGTAACAAAGTGTTAAGTTATTGATTTTTTGTAATTTTCCAACCAAATATACTGCCTATCATTGTAAAAGATGTACGCTTTTTAAAAATGATATACTTAATTTCTAGAAACTAGATTTGTTCGATAATAAAGTAATTGAGTCTGTCGAGGAATAAGTAAAAAATGTTGTATCGTTAATAAAAAAAATATTAAATTTTTTTCTGATTTAACAGCAATTTAAGTGCTGCTAAATTTGAAAATATTCTCATGAGTTGACCGTATACACCTGATATGCGTTTTGTATAATGTGTTGTTGGCATTCAAACAAAAGTCCAGAACTGTTGGGCTATAGCTGTAGACTTTATGTTAAATTATTATTGAGTAAAGCATCCACGTTGTCGGGACGAATCGTCGAAAGTGAAAAAAAAAATTGCTGCATACAGTTTAATTCGGTATTCACAGACGGTAACGTTTTCACGGTTGGTGGCAGTATATTAACGTGGACATTTTGAAAATTAATATTAATTGTTCCAGTGACCTAATACGATATACCGTACACGGACGTTTTATCACATTATTATCCGACATCAGTGTTGATCATATATTACAGTATTATCTAGCTGTATCCTCGAACGATCAAGCCATTGTATTATAACACCCAAATACTATTACTACTGTTTGGTTTCGCAATGGGCGTTGTGTAAGGATATTCGACAGAGCAAAAATCTAAAAACCTGAATAATTCAAACTCTTTAGTCTTTCGGTTGTCTTTTTATGTGGCGTTTTCGCGGCAGGTTAAATATTATTGTATCGAATCACGGACGCGTGTCGTCGGTGCGCCAAACATATTTTATTACACATTATTTTATATAATAAAGACATAAAGTACATATCATTATTGCCTGTGCCCTGCTGACGTTAACTGATATACTAACGGTGATTATTATCGTAGAGTTGAACATTTAGAAAAATATAATGTCGATTGTTCGCGGTCCGTTCGCGCTTATGCATGATATTGTTTTTATTCGTCAAACTGATAGGCATGACTAAAATAATTGCTATAAATTAAACGCCAGCCGCGTCAATCGGGTGGCAATGTTTCATTTTAAATATATTATTATGTATTTCTTTGAATTAAGTATTCTTATACCTTTAGCCTGTAATCTATACGATGTTGGTAGAACGCGCGATAGTTGCTCTCATGATAGCTACTATACTAAAACTATCATCACAGAATAGATTAAATTTAGTCTATTCTGTGCTACCATCGCGAGGACAAACGAATAAGCACCTTAGTGGGTTAACTGGTATTTGTTTAGTGGCAAAACTGGGTATGAGAATATTTGTGTGTAAATAACCTTTGGTGGGTCAGTTTTAAAACTAGAAAAAGAATACTGTTTAATAATGTAATGTATATTGTATAGGTCACGGTGTAAGTGAATCGTTGGTCATGTACCAGGAAGCTATGCAGAAATATTGATTGAAAATCTTGTATTAATATTGTTTTAGTATTGGATGTCATTACTGTGCTCTAAAGTTGAAACCCATTGAACTATATCGGTCTGAGAAGTACAAGTTTTATTGTTAGCATTGTTTTTATTTTTAGTGGTAGACCAGAATGAAGTAATGATCTAAACAAGTGTTGTAGAGTGTTGGATGTTTACCGTTGGGCTTTTAAGCCAGAGCCACATGTGAAACATTTCTCTAATATTTCTCTAATCTAATTTTTTTTTTTTTTGTTTTGTCATTTAAGTTTTGTTAATGGAAAATTATAGAGGACATCCGATGTATCTTAATAGAAAAACGTTAGTTTATTTGGAAGGGTTAACTTGTATGTTGCAGTATTGGTACCAGCTGTCCAACAAATTTAAGTATTTTTTAACTTTTGGTACAAGCTTTATCGATAGGAAAGATAGCAGTATCACTGGCAAAAGCACTAAGAATTGTATTTTTATTTTGTTGTAGATCGTTGATGAAAAAGTCTTAAAAAAAGGAGATACATTGATATCTTGTGGTATATATGACGGTAGGCACCATTGATTTTAACTTAAATTGTACGTTGATTTAGATAAGAAATGATCAAAAGGTAATATGGTAATAATTTCAGTTTGTATAGCAGACTTAGACTTGGGTACTAATTCGGTTAAAATCCTGGGCTATTGCCCTGGCCTATCGGTCGACAAGTAAAGTTTCTACAAAGTATTTAATTTTGTTATTTAATTTCTACCAACTGCTTAAAGATCTAACATAACACAATATTACACAAACCACAATATAAATGTTTGTTTTATTTTCAAAAAAGGACCATAATTACAAATAAATATTAAAAAATTATATATTTTGAGAATTTATGATTTTACTAAATTTAGAAAAAACTGTTAAGCAAACTTGTGGTTAAATATATAGTAAAGATATAAAATCTACTTGAACCCTAAACCATGTTCGCCCGTAATCGGTCTCAGTCTGTTGTTAGCGCTGAAGATGACAACATCGTTGTCGTAACACGTGTACGCAAGAAGTGTATAATTTTTATGGTTTAGGGTTCAAGTAGATTTTATATCTTTACTTACTAAATTTACACTATTTTTTAAATAGCTAGTTTTATACTTTTTCCTATAAAAAAATACAAATATTTACGAGGTTGATTATAATCAGAATAATCATCATTAAAATACAAATGTATTTAAAATTTATTAATAATTACAATTTTCTTTTATATAACATAAACAAGTTAAAGCATTTTTAATATTTTTAATTTGTTATTATATTTAACATTTTCAAATAATAGCATGTCTAAAAAACATTTTCAAACTACATTTGAAATATTAAAAAGTATTTTACAATATACTAAAAAATTAATAATTTAAATTTAAATTAAAACCAACCTAATTTAAGAACCTATACATTTAATTACAAAAACTTAACTTTACTGTAAGGTGTAACTACGATAAACGTAATAACTATGAAGTATGCAAATAGATGAGTAACTAACATATTTTAAAAGAGTGGACTGATTGTAGATTTGGGAAAAAAAAAATATATATATAGTCAGTAAAAAGCTGGGTTTTTTTTGTACTCTGATGCAGAATAAATAGGTTAATTAATCTCACTGTATGTTGAACTATATATTATAAAATGCTTAAATAAACCCTTAAACACAAAAACAATACTCTATAGCGTATACGTATTTCGGCAGCAATATTACCATATTCAGCGCATACAACAGATTATTGTAATACATACGATTTTCTTCAAACCTTTAAGCATTTCTAAACATATTTTTCTTAGACTAAAAAATTACTCTACTGATTTTCTCCAATACCTTTTCATGTACTACCATAAAAGGTGTATTATTATGTTAATTAATATAATGTAATTATAACTTAAGTATATGACTTATTAGGTGGCATTTTTGTACTTCCTTTGTAATTGTCAAAATACATAAGAAGGATAAAAAAAAACCTTTTTTACAGTAATTGGAGAGTAGAGATAATAGCCAGGCGTGTTGTACATTAACATGTAAACAATCCATCGATAAGTAGGTGTAGTATTTTTTTGAAAACAAACAAACACATGAGTTATAAAGTGGGTTATCAATAATTGCAAACAACTTTTTTACAGTATTACCCTTTCAAACGAACGATTAGCCATGAGGTAATCATAATTTTGACAATACTCAGATCGAGATGGGAGTCTAGGACTACTTCGTACTTTCGTATTGCCCATTGTAGTAGCTGTTTATCGCAAGGCAGCTGATGCGACGGTGTAACAGTTTCATAAAGGTCGTCCGACAATTTACACTTACCTGTACTTAACTATTATTTTTAAAAGGAAAAACTTATGTTAAACTACACATTAGGATATAGAAGATTTAAATGGAACCATAAATCATAATTCCCTAATATTGTATTATTGCTTTAGGGTTTAAATTGAATTAGTCGAAAAAGGTATTGAATCGGTTGTTGTCAGTTTTAGTTGTTATAAATAACTATTTAAGCCATTTAAGCACACGAATAAAATTTAAGTATTCTTCAATTATGTATCAAACTTCAAGTATATGATGGACGTTTATTCAAAAGTAGTATCAACGTGCATCTGCGGGTCTACGTTATGTACAAATGTGATAATACAATTCGGTATATACTTACATGTGTTTCTTGTCCGGGGATCGACCAACTTGCCATCCAGGATAGACCGTCCCAGGACGGCCGCAGGGTCCAAGCTCTTTCGCCTATTGGCGCTGTAGCTGAACCGCCTGGAGCTTTTGTCGGCCCCGGCCATGTTCACCGCCGTGTAGCTGGGCCGACGGTCGTCCCCTTTGGACGCCGTATACGACAGCATGGATAATAGATTTTTCATGTCTACTCACGGCTGTATTATACTCGCAACTCGTACCCAAACTATACTTATTATATGTTATATAAAATGCATAGGACCAATATCGAAAAACAGAAGTCACACGGACGGGCACTAGAAAACGTCAATGGTGGCGCGTGCTCGTCCAGATAAAGCCGGCTGATCCGATTGAGGCCGGTGGGTCGTTAGGACTGAACTTGTAATATAGTGTTTCTCTATTATAAACGGATGATGGCACTCGGACGTCGCTTATGGTCCGGCCGAATTCTACAGAGTCATGTGTACATCGTTAATGTCGAAGAAAACAACATAATATTTAAACGAGAAAAACAATAGTAATCACAACGACAGAATATAACAATAATAAGATAATTAGCGACGAAAACGTACGACTACCGTATTGCGGCGAACGGACGCGGTGCCGGGCAATCACCGATCGCGATGATTCGGTAAAAGCTTAAATATGTATATTTATATATATGTACGTTTATAGAAACCGTTCATATAATATTAGGTATAGCACCGATCTATAATCGTACAATATAATATGTGTATCAAACATCAATCAAACGTCGAATGATAAATTATTAGCGTACCGGCGGCGGCGGATGATTTGACGAATATACTCTGTAATGAAAGCGATACGGGCATTATGCGATTAAAAGACGGCGGCTTGTATACCGACAGTAACCGCGGGTATCGTCCGGAACCTCCCACCGACAAATCCCCTACCGTCTGCAAAAAAAAAAAAAAGCGCAAAAAGATACAAAACCCACGACGGCGAAGGTCTAGGTCCGTCGTGCCGGAGGTCGTCTATAGGTAACCAGACCACGCCGGCGCCGTCGACGACCAGTTTAGACGATTAACACGTGTGTCTATACGTGAGAACGTTTACCATAATAATATCGCAGAAACGGTATGCGTACGGCAGTTATTTTCAACGGGGAAAAGGAACCCCGAAGGATAAGTCGGAATCGCCGCAGGGTCCTTGAGAATTACGAATATTATACCCAGAGTCTGTGGTGCGCGTTACAGGCAAAAAAAACCTATTGTTATATATTTTTAAAACAACGACGATGTTGATGCGCCGAAAAAAATTAAGTAAACAAACGTGTTTTGTACACGAACACGATACTTAGGACAGACGTGCGTTTTCGGGGATTACATATTTTACAGTGCTTGTGTTGTTCATCATCTCTCTGAAATCCGGTTGCCTATAGGCTGCACAATGCCCGGAGACCTTCGACCTTTTTTAATAATTCGCGACATCTTGTCCGATTGACTTCCCTCTGTTTGTGTACATAAGACATAACTACACACTGAAAGCTGTATAGATGATCATCGACTAGGTTATTGCCGAGCTATAACCAAACCCGATCTAATGTTTATCGGTTTTATTTTTCTCGCACCACTTATTTTCACTACCTACATGTTGTAAGAGCGCCGATTCAGGTTGTATAAGAACATGATTGTGTATAAGTGACGACAGCGACAAGGTTATAACTTATATAGGTCTATAACAAGCTTAATAACAGCTATACTCGTTTATAATTGAAGGGCACAGGGGAAAAACGGTAGTTGTCACATTATGAACATTTTAGAGTATAGCAAAAACAAAGTTCGTGAATTCCTCTACCTCTTACATAAGAACAAAAAAAATCACATCAAACGCTACTCTAACAATAAATGTATTTATTTAAACAATCTATTGACATAAATAAAAAAAATTATTGGCATGTATTGAAAAAAACTATTTGAAAAAAAAAATTTTCATAATGTGACAACTATCGTTTTTCCACTGTGCCCTTCAAGTATTATACGAATACGGAATGAGACACTTCCAAGATTGTGTCATCTGTTTAATCGACACCGACGGACCCGTGTACTCCTAAAGTCAACCCAAAGCGAAAACTAATAATAATTATACTTTTGAGCATTAGTTGGAGTATGGATTAAATTTACTTTAAGAAAACAATACTGTACTATGTTGATTTTTACAGAACAAGTTATACGGGGAGGGAGGCAATAGAAGAACAGGTCCCTCGCTTAGGTTTCCTGTGGATATTTTAAAATTAAAATATATACCCTCCCCATAGATTTTTGAAAATAAACGCCATTGCTTTTGATATAACAAACATATAAATATATTTATGATTTTAATGATCATTTCTAAACGTTTACACTGCCAACCGGATAATCCATTTTACGTAAGACACTTATTTTCTAGAATAATAATTGCAATTTTCTAGATTTTCTACAAATCGTACAGATTTGTACAATTTTATTAATTATCAAATATTTACCATTTTAGTAGTTTCCCCAACGCTATTAACTTTTGTAACTTAAACGGTGACGTATATATTTAATGAACTTTTTAACTTGAGAATCATTTGTTGAAAATGTTGACTGATCGACAATTAGCTTTGAATAATTACTTTTATAGTTATCAGAGTTTAAATTTTGGACGGCTGGTGGAGTGTGATTGAGTAATAGGTACGCGTGCAGATAAAAACAATACTACACTTCACCTTCAAATGGATCACTTGTACACTTACTACAAATTTCGGTGAAGAAATCACTAATCGAACTAGTGAACCGGGTTTCTTAGGTCTAATTAATAAATGTGTTAATTGATATTTGACGATACATTGCAATACTAATGAGATATTGACTTTCGAGAACAGAAAAAAAACATTATGGATATGTTATCTCTTATCGCTCATCTATAATCTCTTATTTCTAACTGAGATATCCAGATTCCAGTCCAATAACATTCATGTTAAAACAGGTGAAATACAAATTTTTTTCGACATACCATTTTTTACTTCTTTACCAGTTACGATGCTTGTTTGAACTCTAGTAGTCATATTTTTTTTTTCGAGTCCAACCTTACGCTCGAAAAAAAGAAATGCAAGTGTTTATGAAGCAAATGACTTTTTTTGTTAATCGCGTGTTACTGTTTCAAACCGAATTTTTTAAAATACACACGGCTTCTACAGAGCGATATGACGAATAAATAATTTGTATAATAAAAGAGCAATTTTCAAGGGAAGGTTATCGAATACGCGAGACGCGTTTGAGCGAAATTGATTGAAATATTATTCGCAGTAGGTAATAACACAATACGATATGGTAATACTTTCATAATAGCAATGTCGATTTTTTTTTTTTTACATTCAAATTAATCGTGGGGCGGTATAAATTAAACCAAAAGCATTGACTTCGACAAAACGATAATTAATACACAACAACGATCTATAACCCGCCAAATGGACAACTTAATTGCCGAACACACTTCATTTCAGAAATAATTATGTACTATTTGCACACTGGGCATTTATGCTCTGCCAACGACTATTTGAAATCGTTTATAGGTTATTATCTAATACGCCTAATTATAAATAATATATAAATATTACAATATATAAACAATATTGATAATAATAATTAATTGCTTAAAATTTAAATAAAATTTAAAACCCTAATAAATCAATAAACATAAATAAAAAAAACCACGCTAATAGTATTCGACCGTAGATTGTTCTTACTCCTTATTGTGCATCTAACATCTCCAATCAGTTCCTATATCACCAACTGGTAGGTATTTAATGAGCGATTCTTGGTCATTTTTATTTTCCTTGTTTTTAACGTCGAACCTTGGAATTGTTAAGAGCTACCTAATTAAAATACTTCTTAGAGATGTTACTTAACTGTGTTAAATTACTATCCGTTCAAATGTTACACACTTCGTCGTTATAGAGAAGTTGGGCCCATTGGTCAAAATAAATCCACCATGACGTGTCAGTACTGACTCAGTATAGTATTGATCAAGGAGAAGCCAATAATTTTCATTAAATCTTATTGTGGTGGGTTGACCGCTCTTTTTAATTTATTTTTCATAAATAGTTTGTATATTTTGTAGACGATTTTTTACGTTATTATTTAATATTCAAGGGTTCATATTTGTATAATATAATAATTATTATTTAAATTAATTGGTTATAACAATAAATTTAAATGCTATTTAGTATCGTAATGTTGTTTTTGCTCAATAACTAGTTGGAATGAATACTATTGGAATAGTGCAGGCGGAATACTTGCACCATAAACTTGGACCTACCTTGCAACCTAACCTAGCCTAACCAAACTAATGGATCTAAAATTAATTATTCAAAACTAGTTATCGTGAGTCAATAGTTGATTCTAGTATCAATCATAATTTAAAATGTATTGGATGACTTTTACTTTTTAAGTGTCGCTCAATAAATGAAGAAAGTTACCATAGACTGAAAGGGTAGATGAGTTACACAAAAAACTGAACCAAATATAAAAATAAAGTCTAAACTATTTTTTTCTAGATAAAATGGATGTCTAAAACTACATGAATCGTAGTCTTGAATATTTAAAGAGTATCCGTTGTACGACTTTTTTAGTATAATATTCTGTTTTCATTTTGAAGGAAGTATAAATATTATTTGACAAAAATTAGGGTGATGACGTTTATGACTGAGGACGTTCATGATTGTTATTACATAATATATTAGAAAAAAATGAAACTAACTCGTTTGCACAAGGTCTAAAAGTTGAATTGACCGAAGCGAAGATTGCGGTTTAAATGGCATTGACTTTTAAAACAAATAATATATATTTATATGAGAAAATTAAACGGAGTTAAGTAGGGTCATCGAAATCACGCCCTATACTATTACCGAAGTCGAAACAACAATTAACAAACATCATTAGCATAAAATTAATAATATTGAATACATTATTCTTTCTAAAATCAATAGTTCAAGGAAGTGTATTAATTTTAAATAATTATAAATCGTTATAATAGTATGATTTTTTTTTTTTAATACATCCAATCGCCGATAAAATCTCACTTTTTATTTACAAAAAACAAGTTTGCTAATTTTTTTTTACCTGTTTGTCGCGGATTACCGACCGGGTCGTTAACGAAATGATAATGCAGTACGATGCGAATAAGAAAGAATAACAATAATATTAAAAAAAAAATACAAATATTTAATAATGAATGATCTTGGCATATTATACGGTAATGCGTGTGACAATATAACAGTTTATTTTGCGTTTACTATTTGTTACACGTCATAAATCTCTATTAATACAAAATGCGTATACTGTTTACCGAAATGGCAAGCGAATTATGAATATATTAGTTTTTTTTTAAACAACAACCAAATACAATATCGTTCGTTCCGTTCGCTCTTTGAAACGTTGAAAACATTGGTTGTTCTTCGTGTACTTACTCCGAAAGATGGAAGTCATTTCTACAATTTTGAAGATTCAAAAGCACCTGACAGTGTATCTAGATAACCCAACCGAACGTGAGCCGAGAACAATATGTCGAAGAATATCAAAAAAAACATTATTTTGGTCCACACGAACTGTGTATGCCGACAATTCGCTTAACTATGTGTGTGTGTTATACTCATACTACCGATGGATTTGAATTACAATTGTTAATTAATCCCGAATCGTTGAAACAATGTAGATATTAATATAATTCAGGTTGCCGAGACAGGAAACATGAACAATATAGGTTAAAAAAATAATTACATCCGGTAATTT